CCTGGCATGTCCCAGCCAAGGTGGAGTCGAGCTCTTCTCATTGTCAATGCCAAGCTCCACAGCACTTGCACCCTGGAGAGGAGCCGAGGGAAGTGAAGCTCTTCAGGACACTCACAGTTCAACTACGAGGTGAAGCTGATGCACAAAGAGACAGCCAAGGAGACAGAAGAGCTTTACCAGCAACGTAACACACCCAGCCCCAAACCTGGATCCTCTCCCAAGCCCAACCATGTCCCATTTCCCACCTCTTTATCCAGGTAACACAGGCACTGGGAGAGCCCTTTTTGGCTGGGATGGGGCTGAATTAGACTGGTGCGAGCAGGAGGCCTAAGGCTGCTTCAGTGGTGGATTTTGATCCATCCATGGGAGAGCTCAGTCCCTTCTTTGCTTCCCACACAAGCCTCCATGTCTCCCTTTCCTCCTTCCACTGATTCTCGCTGCAAACTCCTCTCCCAGCCTCACCTTACCCATCCGCGTGTCCCTTTGGGTCTTTTCCCACCACCTCCAGATGGGAGTGTTTCTGGGCTGGAACCCAACTGGTTTTCCATTGCTGGGATTGAACATTCCTCCCAAACCCCACCAGGATGCGGCTGGATCAGTAAAAGTTGCCTTCAAATCCATCACGTAGGACAAAGGACCGTGCATGAGCTGTGCTGCTCCACCGGCTGTGCTCCAAGGGGAATCTCCGCTGGCATATTCCCAATGGGCTCTTGTGTTCCCATGTGGCATTTACCACTCCAGGCATCTACCAGGGAGGGGGAAATGCCATGAGAAGTATAAGGAGAAGAGGGAGCCACCCCTCAAGGCTCATCACAAGAGAGCTACAATGGATGAGAAGGGGAGAGAAATGTCGATGGATGAGTTGGGAAGGGAATGGAGATGGAAAAGGAACCCTGTGGGGCTGTAGGACTGAGGAAGTGGGAACTGGCAGGGGCTCTGCATCCCGGGATGGGTTGTAGGCTTGGCCTGGGTGGTCCTACAGCTCCATGTGCAGCTCCCCACAGACCCCAGGAGCTTGAGGCTTGCCCTGGAGATGGGCAAAGAGGAGGGAGCACAAGAAAAGCAAGAGGAAACCTGCTCTGGGATCTAAACAAGCAGGGACACCTTCCACTGGGCCAGGTTGCTCCAATCCCCATCCAACCTGGGGATGGGGCTTGGAGCTCAAGGTCCTCTCCTCCTGTTGGCTCTCATCAAGCAGCACAAGCACCTGCACAGCTCCAGTGCAGAAGGCGGGCACGTCCCTGCTCTGCGGTGCTGGGGCCCAGCCACAGGAGGATGAGGGCTCGAAGGGGTGAATTCCCCCACCAAAACACGTCTCATTCCGTGTTCATGCACCAACCTCATGCGTTGAACCTGCAGCGACTCCCCTGAGGGCCTCTTGGGTGAGTGGCTGCATTGGCATTTTTCAGCCCCGATAAGCAGAGCCCAACCCAGCTGCCAGCTCAGTTCGAGTTCCTGCAGTGTTTAGTCCTGGACTTTGGCCCCTGGTTGCAGCTGAGATGCCACAACACAACCCGGCCCAGTGCTCACCACGTCCCGGCACGTGGGATGGGGCGAGAGGGACCTCTGGGGTTGTTCCTTCCCCACTACAGGGACACCTTAGAGCAGCTCCAGTGCCTAAAGGGGCTCCAGGAAACCTGGAGAGGGGCTTTGGACAAGGGATGGAGGGACAGGACAAGGGGAATGGCTTTAACCTGACAGAGGAGAGATTGAGATGAGCTCTTGAGTTCTTCACTATGAGGGTGGTGGGACACTGAAATGGGTTGAACAGAGAAGCTGTGGCTGCCCCCTCCCCGGGCGTGGTCAAGGCCAGGTTGGGCACAAGGGCTGTGGGGA